AAGGGTTCACCTTGAGGGTACATGTCTTATTATTTTATTTTATCCTGAGGGTAATTCACAGAAAAGAATATACAGATGTCCAATAAGTATATGCTTGTAGGATAGACAGGGTTATGGGAGGACGAATTACCCCAACACAATCTGGCCCACACGTTTTTACCTCTCAATCTTTCTCTCCCATGCTTACTCTCCTCCTGTCACCTGGCTTTCAACATCTCAAGCATGCACACCTTCAGGGCTTGCACTTACTTTCTTTTGATATATTGAAAGTGAAACCTTCCCTATCTATGCGATTTAAAATTTCACCCTCTCCTCCCAGATACTCCCTCGTCCCCTCCCTGCTCTGTTTTTCTCATGGCATTTATTACCACCTGACATATGATTGATTGATTGTCCATCTACAACCTCTAAATTTAACCTATATCAGAGCAAAAATTTTATTTGTTTTGATCATTGCTCTATTCTATATCTGGAGCAGTGCCAAACAATTAACATCCCTCAAATATTTGCTAAATGTATAAATTAACCCTTTTGGAAAAGGATCTGGCAATATTTAGTCATACTAAAAATGTGCAGGATAATTTTACTCAGCAATCTTACTTATAGATTAAAGTTGGCTGCATATGATTTTGCTACTCCTCCTATTTATAGGTTTATGTCCAATCCTCTTGAATCTAGGTGGGCTGTATGACTGACTGACCAATAAAATATGGTTGAAAGGACACTGCCAGTTTCCAGCACCAGGCCTTAGGAGATTAGCACTTTCCATTTTCTCTCTCTTGAACATTTGCTTCTAGAACCAGCTGCCATGCTGTCAGGAAGCCTAAGCAGTTCATGGAGAGGTCTAGGTGGAAAGGAATTGAAGTACTTTGTTAATAGCTCCTGCCAATAGCCAGCAACAACTTGTGGTGTGAGTGAGCTCTCTTGGAAATGAATCCTCTATCTACATTTAGGCTACCCCAGCCGAAGCTGCATGAGTTGTTGTGCTAAGCATTGCCCCAATTTTAAATTCATAAGTTTTTTTGGTGTGGTTTGTTATCCAACAATTAGTAACTGGAATTCCACTTTTTATGAATCTATCTTATTGAAATAAGAACCCCAGAAAACAAGAATGGATGTATTTGGGAATGTTTATAACAATGTTCTTCATGATTAAAAACAAGAAAGAAAAAATAAACTAGGAACAACTTGAATGTCCATTCTGTACATTATGGTTTAAAAGTATTGCATAGATCCATTGTGGACTATATTTGGCTATTTTTTTGTTTGTTTGTTTGCTTTTGAGACAGGATCTCACTCTGTTGCCCAGACTGGAGTGCAGTGGCATGAACAAGGCTCACTGTAGCTTCAATCTCCTGGGCTCAAGCCCACCTCAACCTCCCCAGCAGCTGGGACCACAGGCGCATATGCCACCATGCCCAGCTAATTAAATTTTCTTTTGTTCTTTATAGAGACGGGTTCTCCCTATGTTGCCCAGGCTGGTTGCAAACTCCTAGACTCAAGCAATCTTCCTGCGTTGGCCTCCCAAAGTGTTGGGAATACAAGGGCAAGCCACTGTGCCTGGCCATATTTGGCTGTTAAAACATATGAGTTACGGCTGTATATATCAACATGGAAGGATATCCAGAATGTATTGATAAATGGAAAAAAAGCAAATTTCAGAGTAAAATGCTTAGTCTAATTTCACGCAAACAAAACAAAACAAACAAACAAAAACCTCTATAGGCTGGGCACAGTGGCTCATGTCTGTAATCCCAGACCTTTGGGAGGCCAAGGTGGGTGGATCACTTGATATCAAGGGTTTGAGACCAGCCTGGCCAACATGGTGAAACCTCACCTCTGCAAAAATATAAAAATTAGCCGGGGATGGTGGCGTGGACCTATATATAGTTCCAGTTACTCTGGAGGTGGAGGCAGGAGAATGACTTGAAACCAGGAGGCAGAGGTTGCAGTGAGCCAAGACCATGCCACTGCACTCCAGTCTGGGCAACAGACCCAAGATTCCATCTCAAAAAAAAGAAAAAAAAAAGAAAGAAAACAGTATAAATATGTGTACTTTACATATATTTACATAAACATAAAGCATAAAAAGTATGAAGAATCTACACACCAAATTATTAACGGGGATTTTGTTTTTTTCTTTAAACTCTTCTATATTGCTGAAATTGCTACAAAAAAGTTACAAAAAATACTACTCTTGTAATTAAAAAATTATCCTGGGTTTCAAGCAAAGTGGTGGTGATATGTGTGCATGAAGGCAGCTATGTATTTGTTGGGGAGCTTTCTTAGAAGTGCTGCTCTGTTCAAGGAGAATGGTTTCTTTGTGGGTGCAAGGTTGGGGAGAGGGCCTCAGGGACTAGTGACATTGAATCCGTTTTCTTCCATTTCTGACAATGGCTTTGTTGGGGGGCAGCAATACAAGTGTGACTAGAAGAAAAAGAGAAAGGTATGTTTCTAGTTTATTGTAGTCAGTCCTCCGAAGTGTTAGCAGGGAGGAAATCTTCAATACTGGTATGACAGGGCCAAGCTTTGTGGTGGTTTTGGAACCTGGTTATAGGGATTTCCAAGTGGAAAACAAAATGTGTCTAGTTACTAATTTTGGAAGTTTTCAGACACCTTTGACTCCTTTTTAGGGGATCTTCATAGAAATAGATTCTCAGAGGGTGACTAGTAAATCATTTTCTCTCATGTGGAAGCAGGGGAGAACACTTTTGTAATGCAGTGATTTATTTGCTTTGTGGAGAGATGATGTGAAAGCAGAACTTGCTTTGAAGATTAGGGACCTGTCTTTCATTAGTGGTGAGGAAATGGAAAGAGGAATCAAAAGAACCAGGCTCTGATCCTGGTTCTACTACTGACTAGCTGACTGGCTGACTGACTTCACTGCGCCTCTGTTTACTTTTCTACATGGAGATATGACACAGAAAGAAAGATTATGCCTTTCATTGCCTATAGAAAATGATCAGAATATTTACTTTCCTACAGGAGTTTATAAAAATAGGTTGTCTCACCATTACAGCAGCTAGATGGCACCACCACCTCTAACATTTCATTTTTAACGATTCAACTGTAATTGCAGCTGGTATAGAATGTGCTGTTTCTTTCCTTTCATGATAGCATCTGTAAAAAGGTATGACTTTTAGATGAAAAGGAATTTAGCTATGTTGCTTTGAGACATCATGAATCTCTCCAAAGGAGATTTAGCATAGATAAACCTGAAGTCTTTGAGAAAACTACAAGCCGGTAATTATAGAGGATAATCACTGTATTGTAATTGTCCCTTGGGTTTTAGTTGCCCTAATTTCATCAGAGTTCTCTCTTTGTTCCCCAGAAGACATGCTGACAGGCTTAGCCTGAGGGAGTGATATTTTGTTAGCCGGGCAGTGTTCGGATAGGGAGATTCTGTCCTTACTACATCTCTAGATATAAGGGAAGAGACCTCCTATGCTTTGTTGACTGTAGAATCATAGATTTTTAGCAATTCATGAGGAAGCCAACTTCTGCATTTTACAACTAGATACAGGAGACCCAGAGAATTTAAGTGATTTGCTCAAAAAGTAGTATATAGTAGTCTCAATACTCGTATTCCTTGTTTTTCCACTTGACTGTTGCTGCCTGTTTTTTGTGTATGTGTGTGTTTTTAACTTAGATAGACTGCCTTGGGGTTTACAGCTAAATGGGAATTGGTAGGATTGCTTAATATTAAAAAAAAAAATCCCATAAGCAGGGTGGAATTTTAAACTATTTTTATCTCCCTTACCACCAATGTGCTTCAAAGAAAGGAAGATTTGGGCAACTGGAGAATCGTGATCTAACCCTCTGCGGTTAAAGTTTTCTATTTCTTATAAACACGTTTAAGTAATATTTTGCCTGTCTTACAATATTGTACTGAAAAATTATGTGAGAATTAAGGAGAGTAAAAATTTAGAGTTTAGGAACAGCTGAATGTTTAATTATTTCTCTGCCAAAGAAGTTAGTTTTCATTTTTCAAAATTTACTTATTTATAATTTTTTTTCAGTTTGCAAGATGCTGAAGAACATGCTTAATTGACCCTTTCCCTCTTTAGTCTTACTTTTATCAATTTAAACATAAAAGAGTTGTGCATTCAGCTTCATCCATGCTCTGGTGTGCGTGAGCAACAATTATGGAAGCAGTGATATGCTAGCATGTTGTTAATTTCCTTGTTTTTTATTTCTTCAAATATTGGGTTACTGAATTGTGAATTCCAAGGAGTTGCTAGGATTTTAGAAAGTTGCTTGAAAGACTATTGGAGTTTTATTGGGTAACACTTTGTCTAGTAGTCATATTTTTCCCTTTACATTCATCAAGTCTATTCCTTTCACTAAAAATTAAATAATAATTAGCTTTTATTTTAACTTTTTAAGTCCCTATGTACTGTGTTGCAACTAGAAATCACTTTATCCAGAACTCTGAGATGAGCATAGTGAACAGGTTTATTAGGAAATTATGCTGATAGTAATTTGATATTTTGGGGTAGTGTTTCCTAGTCTATTTGAAAATTATAAGATTTGAAAATAAACTGAAGGAATGTTGCATGATAATAGTTATATTTATAGCATGTGTTGACAATGAAAATATATAGTGACAAAAAGCAACTATGAATTCAGTAACACTGTTTACCTGACTTTGTATTTTATTAGTCACAAAACACACATATATATTTTTTTAAATAGGAATACTTTGTGAGCAAACTATATTATTCATTTAGTTAACAGATAATACTAGATGCACCTGAGAATTTAGTTGCAGTTTCTCTGAAGCTTCTGGTATCAAACCTAACTGTGGTCTGTTCACCCAGCGCAGGAAGACCAGATATCCACACTGAGGTTTGCCGCAGGAGAAAGGCAAGTGTTTATTTGCAGAGTGCCAAGCAATGAGAATCAGGCAGTTCATGCTTAAGACTCAGACTTCCAGAGGGCTTACTGTAAGATTTTCCCAGGGCCTGAAAGCTTAAGATGAGTAACTCCTCCCTTCTTAGGCCCAGTCCCAAGGCGCAACTTCCGCCAGCAGCTGCGCCAGCAAGATAGCAGAAGCAGGAAGAGAGCAGGCGGAAGACACCTACCCTGGCCGGAAGACACGAAGATCGAGAAAAAGGCCATCCGGGTACCACGTAGCAGTTACATCGGACTATGACACTTCCTGTTTACAGGAGACTATAAGACCTTTGCCCCGTCCTCACTTGGGGCTGGCCTGCACCCAGGCCCTCATTAGAACAGCATGTTGCTCCACACCGCCTCGTGTTGTCTGTTGGCTGCTCTCAGGGTCGAAATGATACAAGAACCTTACACTTACAGGTAAGGGTTTTTAAAGGCAGGAAGGCAGAGGTTACAGGTGAAGTCATAAATCAATATGTAGAGGCTGTACATTGGTTTGACCTAAAATGGTGGGACATCTTGAAGTGGAGGGGCCCACAGGTCATAGGTAGGTTCAAATATTTTCTGATTCGCAATTGGTTAAGGAAGAGAAGCTTCGTTTAAAATCGTGAGGTTAGCAGTAAAGAATGTTAGCTCTGGCTTGTGGGTGTGACTTTCTCCAGGCCCCTCAGGAAGAACTTTAGGAGAAAGGTCAGAGTGCAGTCCTTAGCTCCCCCTTGTCTGAGGTCTCAGTGCCAGCAGTTCCATTTGGTGGGGGTCCAGGTTGCTGAAAAACAACTCAGGTATACATGTTAAGATGTTATCTTTAGTTTCTGCAGGGAACCAAACATTCTGGTGATTCTAACTCCTTGGCTATTGTTGTAAGCTACTATTACCTTCCCACTTATCAAGTTGTTTATTTACTTTTTAAGGATACCTAGGTGCCTGGAATTTCCCTTGAAGGAACTCAAGATTTTCCTTTATTTTCATGCTCGTTGTTGGGGTGGTACTCCCAGGCGCCTGTGAGGGGTCCCTGCCCTGTTTCACTTCCCCCAAACTGTAAGTTGGAAACACTGTTCTAGAATGATAAGTATCTCCAAGTGAATCAAGTTTTCACAATTTGTATTCAGCAGCAGCTAAAATGTATTGGGAGCTTAATATGTTCAAGGAACTATGCAAAATTGCTTTATATGTATTAACTAACTTAATCCTCATAACAGTCCTGTGAAGTAGGTGCTACCATTGTCTCCTTCTTATAAATGCAGAGAGGGAAGCTTAGATGGTTAAAATCACTTTTTCAGGGTCACATATTTTCAAAGATAGCCCCAGATAAGTTCAGTGCATATCCTTGGTTAAAAACCACTGGTCTAATTCATCTTCCTTATTTGTATTTGAGGAATTTGAGTTCCAGATGGAAAACAAGTTACTCCTATGCCATATCTAATATTAAAATCTTGGCTGTCAACATAAACTTTTTTTTTTTTTCTGTTTTCAGAGATTTACAGAGATAAAAGACTCTTTGAGTGGCTTGCAATCTGAATAGGGAGCTAGGACTTGAGCAGAAAAAACAAATAATAAAAATAACTAATGCTATGTGGAGAAATGAGGGGTAGCAGAAAGAAAAAATATTTAATGGCGAGAGACATCTTTAAGGTAGGCTTCAGAATGGAGGCAAGTTTTCAAAGAAAAGCAGAACCTAGTGAAGCCAGAGAGGAGTGGGAAGTTCTCTAGTCTGGAGTAGGAGTATGAGAAAAAGACAGGAAGGTGGGAAGACTAACAGAAGTTTGGGTTTGATGAACAGAAACATTCTAGTTCAGGTGAGTGTCTTTTAGGGGACAAATAAAAGACCATTTATGGAAGTGGGTAGGGTTTAGATAGTAGCCTCTTGTGCTGGACTAAGAAGTTTGTGTATTTTCCTATAGGAAGTGGGAAGCTATTGAAAGTTTTACAGGATGAGTAACTGGTTAAAATATTTCCATGCCCAGTGGCTGAGTTTGAGGGTGGGGAATTGGATTCACTTGGTGCCTTTGGGATCCTCCTTCAATAGTAGTACAACTGGCTTGGAATTAAGAGTTGGAATGGTGAGTATAACTTGCCTGAGATGAACTGTCAGACACAGACTCTGATAGCAAATAAGCAAGGAGAGTCTTGCTCAGGACCATCAAAGCAGTGCCCTGAACTACTTTCCATGGTGGAACTTCTAATATCTGTGTTTAAAAAGTTAGTATTCTTAAATTTCAGGGAGGATTGAGGAGGTGTTTAGAATTTAGTTCAATGTTTTATGTTTGTTTGTTACTATCTGTTCTTGCTCTAGCTAAGTATGCTGATATGTCATTATATGGACCTCAGGACTTTTCATGTGGTGAAATTGATCTGGCTCAGAAAGAAAAGTAATAACTCTTCAGGAAGAATTTATTTATTTTTGTTTATTCACCCTTGTGGATTTAAAAAATTAAATAAACATAGATCCACATGTGGCTATAGAGAATAATACAGAGAGATCTTGTGTACTCCTTACTCAGTTTTCTCCAATAGTAACATCTTGGAAAACTAGAGTTCAGTATCACAGCCAGGATACTGACATTTATTCAGTGAACATACAGAACATTTCCATCATCATAAGAATCTCTCATGTTGTCCATTTATAATGGCCATATCCAGTTCCCGTCTGCCTCCAACACCACCTTAACTTCTGGTAACCACTAATCTGTTGACTATTTATATAATTTTTTTTTACACACACACACACACACACACACTCTCAAGTAAATTGAACAATACACGATGTAACATTTAGGGACTGGCTTTTTTCACTCAGCTGAATTCTTTGAAGTTTCATCCAGGGCATTGCATGTATCAATAGTTTGTTCTTTTTTATTATATTCTGTAGTGATTTTGATGTATCTCTTTGAATAACTTGTTTAGTGATTGCTCCATATATCACATTATGTCTACATTACTCTTCACAGTCTACTGGTATTATCACATTATTACTTCAAGTGAAGTATAGAAACCTTACCTCCCTTTAAATCTTACTATCCTCCCCTATTTGCAACACAATTGTCTTAGATACCTCTTCTGCATACATTTAGAACCACATCAAGTAGTCCTATATTATTTTGCCTCAGCCATCAAACATGATTTAGAAAACTCCAGAAAAGTCTGTTGTATTTACCTATGTTTTTGCTTACCATGTTCTTTCTTTTTGATGTTCCAGGTTTCCTGTTTTATAAATTTCTTTCTGTTTAGACCATTTTCTTTAACTGTTCTTTTTTAGTAGAGTTATTGGTGACAAATTATCTTAGTTTTCCTTCATCTGAGAATATCTTGATACCCACTTTATTCTCGAAGGATATTTTCACCCAGTATAAGATTTTGGGTTGACAATTCTTTTCTTTCAGTTCTTGAAAAATGGCATGCTATTTCCTTGTAGTCTCTATACTTTAAAAGTAATAGTTACACTGTCATTTGAATTGTTTTTTCTTATAGGTAAGGTACATCTCTTTTGCTGCTTTCCAGACTTTTTCTTTAGTTTTTGAAATTTGACCATTATGTGTAATAGTACAGATTTCATTGAGTTTATTCTATTTGGAATATTCTCACCTTCCTAAATCTGTAGGTTTGTATTGTTTTGCAAAATTTAGGAAGTTTTTGGTCAACTCTTATTTCTTCAAGTATTTTTACAGCCCCATCCTCTTTTTTCACCCCTTCAAGAATAAAACATGAAAATTAGATGTTTTGTTATAGTTCCAAAGATCCCCTAGAATCTGTTAACTTATTTCAATCTATTTTCTCCTTATTGTTCAGACTGTTTAATTCCTATCATCCTGTCATCTAGTTCACTGATTTTTCTGTTTCCATTCTGCGGTTGAACCCATCACTTTTTTAAAAATTTCAGTTATTATATTTTTCAGTTCTAAAATTTCCATTTGGTCCTTAATTATATCTTTCACCTCTTTGCTGAAACTTTAAAAAATTTCTTTGCTGAGACATCCTATTTTGTTTCAAGTGTATTTGTAATTGCTCATTGAAATATTTTTATCATGGCTGCTTTAAAATTTTTGTCAGATAATTCTAAGATCTCTGTCATCTCACTGGCATCTGTTAACTATCTTTTTTCATTTAGTTTCCGATTTTCTTGGTAATTGGTGTAATGAGTAAGTATCAATTGAAACCTAAACGTTTAGGCACTATGTTATAAGACTCTAGATCTTACTTAAATCTCTGTTTGAGATGGCTTTCTCTGACACCAAGGGAAGGTTGAGTGCTGCTTTGTTACTGCCAGGTTTGTGTAGCAGTCCATTCAGGTTCCTCAGTTTGGATACACTGGTAACCAAAGCCATATACTTCTTGTTACTACTGGGCAGGAATGGGAGTTCCAGCTCCCCTCTAGTCTGCACTGATACCTTCCTAGTGGGGAAGGAGGACATCCTTGCTGCTCCCTTCCTAGCTACTACTGACATGATGGGGAGAGGATGAGTGGCCTCATTTTCTCCTGGAGAGTGATGAAAGTCCTAACTTTCCAGTAGGGCTCCTCTGACACCACTCCAGTGAGAAGGCAGAAGCATACCTCATTACTGCCCGGTGGGTAGAAGTATGTTCCCCATGCATCTCCATTGCTCCCCAGGTGGTCTCCATTGACACTATGGGTGTTTGAAGGGGGCTGGCTCATTAGTGCTCAGTGGGGAAATGAATGTCCCACTTCCTACTCTACTACTATGATGAGGGATGTGGAGATGCCCTGTTACAGCCTGAAAAAAGTGGGTTTTTGCTTGGCTTTTGCTGCTGATGGTGGTGGTGGAGGGGAGTGGCAATGGTGTTTGACGAGAGTAGAGCAACTATTTTCTAAACATTTTCTGCCTCTTTCCAGGACCTTTGACTAGAAAGAGCAGACTTTTGTTGTTGTTGTTTTATTTTTGCATTCATTGGTGTTTTGGGGTTGCTGACTTCTTTAGCTGCAAATCCTGAATATATGAGGCAATGAGAAAATGCAGGGAACTCATCACTGTTTTGTCACGCAGATCCTGAGGTCCTTAGCCTGTCTCCCTTTTCTTAACCTGTTAGTCTCTTTATATAAATTTTACATATGCAAAGGTTTTAGTTGTGTTTACTTGGATGAATACAAAAAAGAACATCTACTCCATCTTCCTGAAAGGGGAAGCCCTGTGAAAATTTTATTTTTAAACATTAGTCTAGACCTTTAGGGTAACAGATGTTCTGAAATGCATAATTTATAACTTGTCCCCTTTCATACTGATTTATGCTTTTAAAAATTAATAAATTTTCTTTGTGTATATTTGAGTTACTACTTTTTAAGTGAAACATTAAAATGGGTGCCATTAAAAAAGAACTTTTGGTTTTAAGTGACACTGCTCTCTAAGTCAGTTGACACTTAGCTCTCTAACTCAGTATTTATTATTTTGTCTTGCTGGGGGCGGTCAAAGAAGTCTCTGAGAATCTAATTAAAATAATATGCCTTTTGCTCCTCAATTTTGCTTATGATTTAGGAAGTTTATATACAGCATATAGAACCCTGGTAAACAATTCACTTTCTAAGTATTGGTAACATAAGAGCTATGAAACTAAGAAAACCCCAAGAATGGAAATGAAAAAAGTGATGAGGAAATACTGGACTCAGGCCTCTGTCTTGAGTTAGGCTGGGCAATACCTATAGCCCAGCTCTATGGTAAAACTCTATTTGTAATTAGCCTATGTAGAAAGATGACTCTTCTACATACTGGAAAGAGCTTCTGTCAGTTCCTATAAATGCAATCCTTAAAGGTAGTGGAGCTACCGTTCTAGGTCTTCCTTATCTCAGTGTTTATACTTCTTAATGTCATGTCTTAAGCACACACTGAATATTTTTCTATTTGTATATTAACAGCAGTTTGAGGAATTTCCTAATTATGTAATGGTCATATCCTTACCTTTGGCTGACCAAAATTTGGCATAAAATAAGCCATTATGTGAATAAAAATGGTATGTTAGTAAGGACTGAGATTTTTTTTCCCTCTTGAACAAAAGACTGAAATAAAGTGTTGGATGACTCTTGAGGAAAGACTGCTAAAGGAAGGTTTTTCATTTGTCTATTGCTATGTGATAAACCACTGCAAACTCAGTAGTCTAAAAACACAACTATTTATTCTCTCATGTAATCCTCTGGTTTGTCAATCTAGTTGGTACTTCTGCTGGTGTGGCCTGGGGTCACATGATCACAGTCATGCAATGACTTGACTGGGGCTGGCAGTTAAATGTCCTCCCTAATACTTCTGGCAGTTGATGCTGCCAGTCAGCTGGGGTACCTTGGCTCTCCTCCATATGGCCTCTCAGCCTCCACTTGGTGAGAGCCTCCACTTGGTGAGACTGGACTCCTTGACAGCGTGGTGTTCTCACAGTTAAAGAGAGAGAAAAATGGAAGGTATAAGGTCTCTTAAGGCCTGGCCTTTGAAGCCACAGTGTTATTTCTACAAATCAAAGGCCCAACCCAGATTTCCGCAGAGGAGAAATAGATTCCGTGTCTTGATGGGAAGAGGGGCAAAGTCACACTGCTAAAGGGCATGTGAGATGGAAGGAATAGTTGTGACTATATTTGCTAACAGTCTGCCACAGGGGACAGAGAAGTGAAATGCTGATGAGGTCGAGGAGGGTTGCAATGAGTGGTAGGGTGAGCTGCTGACACAGGGCCATGTGTCCTGGAGAAAACTCGAGATATGAATAGCAGCCAAAGAAAAGAGTGTGAAGCAGTTGGCAGGGAGACTTTCCATGATGACTTTAGGCAGCCCTAGGGACTGCTCATTTTGACTGAGCCAATGGACAGAACTGTGCTTTTTTTCTAGAGTTTTCCTTTTCTTGGACACAAAGACCTAAATCAACAGGCTGCAGTTCAATCTGGATACATAATCAGCCTGGGACAAAAAGATTTTCCCCAGCTAAGCACCCCGTGGGCTTAAAAAATTCAAATATGAAATGAAGCAGTCTGCAAAATACCTATTATGCAAACATTTTGTAAGCAATGAAAAAATGAAGACTAGGGGTTTTGCAAAGTAAGTGATCATTTTGGTGCTTAATGACCCAGTGGATT